TAACAGAAAAGGCGTAACAAGAATAAATAAATATATCATATATACATCAATATATAAATCAACTAAATATCAGATGAGGAAACTTTGTTATGTTTGATGAAGGTCAGGCGCTCTGGACGCGTCAAAAAAGAAGAAACAAATAATTTCCTGTAATTACTTTTAAAATGGCCTCAGAAGGCCTCGTTCTTTGAGGAATATCAGGAATTTTTGTAAGACCAGGGCCACATTCATCGAACCGAGCTAAGCTGCAACCCCTTTAGTCCCCGGGTACCATCTCTGATACACACGTTTTTTGGGTGTTTTTGAGACATCTGCATCATCAGTGTGATTTTTTTCCCCTGAAAAGCCTGAATTAATTGCACAATACTTTTTTAAACATTTTTTTAAATGCCAGACGTCGCAAATACGATACAAATGTAAAGTCATATGCGGAAATTCAAATTTCAAGAATTTTTCAAACTAATTTGTCAGATGTTTCAATAAACTCTCCATTTTCCAAAAAAAAAAATTCAATCTTCTTTCAAAGAGCTAAACGTGTGCATAAGAATCACCAAATAATTTATGGCGAGCCAAATAACATTTGTCAATAACATTATCAGGACGGCACTTTTTACTTCTGTACAGGTAAAAGCACATTAAAGCAAAAACATTAACTACTTATTCAGAAGAAAGAAAACCCCACTCCATATGTTTATTGAACATCAGATTACATACTTCCATACTTGTACTTGATTACATTTTGACTCCATAAGCAGGAATATAATAAAAGACTCTCACCTTCGTACTGAAGCTTGTTTCAGATCTGCTGGACGTCACAGCAGAAGACCAATAAGCTAACGGCAAATAGTTTGACATCATCGCTGAATTTCTAAGAGGAGGAAAGAAAAATTAAAGACTGAGTGAGTGCTCTCTCTAACACAAAGGATCACTGCTCTATTTTCTGATGGTACTCACAGAGGCTGAAGAGCTTTGAGGGCTTTAACTTCCTCTGAATGCTGCTCTGGGGTCTGAAGGAGGGCGACCAGGAGGAAGAGGAGGTGTCTGACTCCTCCTACAAATTCTGACGTGGGTTTTTTGAAGGGGATTTTTTTT